TTATCTATATTGTATCGGACTTTGGTTTGATCACATTTGGAATACTGCATACAGTTCTGGTCGCCACATTACCAAAAGGATGTGGATGCTTTGGAGGAGGTTCACCAGGATGTTGCCTGGTATGGAGGGCACTAGCTATGAAGAGAGGTTGAGTAGATTAGGATTATTTACATTAGAAAGAGGGGGGACCTGATTGAGGTCTACAGAATCATGAGAGGTATAGACAGGGTGGATAGCAAGAAGCTTTTTCCCCAGAGTGGGGGACTCAATTACTAGGGGTCACGATTTCAAGGTGAGAGGGGAAAAGTTTAAGGGAGACATGCGTGGAAAGTTCTTTACGCAGAGGATGGTGGGTGCCTGGAACGCGTTGCCAGTGGAGGTGGTAGAGGGGGGCACGATAGCATCATTTAAGATGTATCTAGACAGATACATGAGTGGGCAGGGAGCAGAGGGATACAGATCCTTGGAAAACAGGCGACAAGTTTAGATAGAGGAGCTTGGAGGGCCGAAGGGCCTGTTCCTGTGCTGTAATTTTCTTTGTTCTCTATATTCTATCAATATTACAAATGGAGTAGTTCTAATGTTACAGAGTGTGAGATTAGAATTAATTAATTGCAGACTAGCTGTTACAGAAGTGCTGGTGCAGGGAAAATGTCACTGAACCAGCAATCCAGATCCCATCTTAATGCTTTGGAGACATGGGTTCAAATCTCACCATGACAGATGGTGAAGTTTGAATTAAATAAAATTCTGGAATTAAAAGTTAGTCTCATGGCAGCCATACAAATATTATCGATTGTTATAAAAATCCATCTGGGTCACTAATGTCCTTTAGGGAAGGAAACTGCCATCCTCACCTGGTCTGGCCTACATGAGTGGTTCGCATGTGGAATGAAGTTCCTGAGGAAGCGGTGGATGTGGGTACAATTACAATGTTTAAAACACATTTGTATAAATACATGAATAGGAAAGGTTTGAAGGGATATGGGCCTGGAGCAGGCAGGTGAGACTAGTTTCGTTTGGGATTATGTTTGGCATGGACTGAAAGGTCTGTTTCTGTGCTGTGACTCCATGACATGTCACTCTAGTCCCACAGCAATATGGTCGACACTCAAGATGGACAATATACACTGGGCTAGCCAGTGCCACCCACATCGCATGAATAAATAAAACAAGAAGTTCTTAGGTGTGGTCTTGTTGAAAAGCTTAAAGATATTTAACCTGTTTTTATCACGACCACTGCCCAATTTCCATGTGCAGTTACTTGGCCCATGTTTGTACCTCAGTAACAGCTTGTATTTATACAGTATCTTTAATATAGAGGAAAAGATCTTCGTAGAGATGGAAGGAAAACTATATACCCAACCAATGAGGATGATATGGGGGAGGAGTCAATGGCAAAAAAGTTTGGCACAAGTGATGGGATTAAGGATGCTCCCAGGAGAGGAGAGGCTGGCAGAAGGTGTAGGGAGAGAATTTTGGAAGGATCCAGATAACTGAGGATATGTCTGTCTTGGGTTTGACAGCTCTTTCCAAACGCATGCCCTCTTCCAGCAAGAGGCTAGGAGAGCACACACATGGAACACCACTATCATATGATCCATCCACCCCACATCACACACAATACCAACTTGGAACAAGTTCTTTGTTGTTTCTAAGGCCCATGAGGTATGGGTTCATGGATATCGGGCTATGAGGGTGTTGGGAGAAGGCAAGATGGGCACAGGTTTGCACAGGATGTAGGTAGAGCCATGCAAGGTAAATACAGGCACGTCGATTGGGGATGTCAGACAGAATGTTGTTTGACAAGCAGCATGTGGATTGAATGAGTGTGAGCCACTTTATGCTGTGCATGTTGTACCAGTTACTTACTGAGCAGTGCTAATACCACTTACTGGGCAGCCATTGTAAAGCCGTTATGTTCCAATTGGAATGACTTGTTCTTCCTGTCTGCCTACAAGGCCAGAGAGCTCACATCAAAGAGATTACCAGGACAGGAGGAGGTATCCATGAAATTAGGATATTGACCTCCTCCGAAGAGGAAGGAACTGACTGCGAATAATTCAGGATGATCATCTGCAGAAGGAAAGGCCAGAATTTTAAAGTATTCACTTGACAATGTCTCCAGATTGATGGAAAATTGGGTGCTCCCAGGAGTAACAGTGATTGGAAATAGATTTTTATTCCACTATTCATTCCATTCATTCACAGGATGAGGGTGTTGCTGGCTAGGCAGCATTTGTTGCCCAATCTAATTGCCCAGAGGGCAGTTAAGAGTTAACCACATTGCTGTGGGTCTGGTGTCACACATAGGCCAGACAAAGTAAGGATGGCAGTTTCCTTCCCTAAAGGACATTAGTGAAACAGATGGGTTTTTCCTGACAATCGACAATGGAATCATGGTCATCATTAGATTCTTAATTCCAGATATTTATCAGAATCAAATTCTGCCATCTGCTGTGGTGGGATTCGAACCCAGGTCCCCAGAACATTATCTGGGTCTCTGGATTAATAATCCGCTGATAATACCACTAGGTCATCGCCTCCCCTGGAAATTGAGTATAACCTTGAGCTAATTCTTTGTGCTCTGTACAAGAAACAGCAAGAATGTAAGGTGCCCACATCTGAGGGTAAAGAGGCAGTACATTCAGAGAAAGCAGCGTCACAGCCTCACCCTCCACCCGCCCAGAGACAATCACCTCAGGTACTTGCCATTCTAGGTTCAGTCCAGGGTCACATGCCGTGAGTATATCATGGACACGTGCCCACTGCACGTGGAGGCTGAGAGGGTAAAGGTGTCTGACACAGAGGATGGATGGACGCTAGGCTCCTGCTGAGCCCTTTCCAGATGTTGCATCTCTGGAACCAGCCATCACAAACCTGTTGCTGATAGAGATGGTCAGATAAACCTCTGGTGGAGATCCCAAGGCCACGCACAGACTTGGATGAATGGGGGATCTTTCCATTCAAGATCAAGGTGCTAGGGCATGTCCCATTTGCATGCACTTGACTTTCTCCATGCAAACGTTGGTGACTTCTGTGGAGAGATGGGCAAGACTGAACGGTCAGTACCTGCTGGATATGTTCCCAGACCAGCGTTCCATTGTGCTGGCCTTGATTCAGCGGTTGCCAGGCAAGAGAAGGGTGAGCTATATCAACCACCCTCCTGGTGTCCCCTTTCCTCCCAGACTCAGAGACGTGCCATCATGAACCATCAGGAAGGATGCTCTGGCTATGGGTTTACTGACTGATTATTTGGATGGCAGGGCTGACATATGAAGAGAGATTGGATCAGCCTGGATTGTATATTTAGGACCTAAATCTCGAATGTTGAGCGGCCAGTCCTGTCCCTTCCTCAGCTATGTTTCTGTAATAGCTATGGTATCACAGTCCCATGTTCCCATCCATACCCTGAGTTCATCTGTCTCACCTGTCAGACCCCTTGCATTGAAATAAATGCAATTCATTTCTTCAGAGTTACCTAACTCCCTAACTTGTTGTTGCCCACCATGTCTAATTAACACTGTAAACGATTTGGATGAGAATTTAGGCGTTAAGTTTGTGAATGACACCAAAATTGTTGGTACAGTGGACAGTGAAGAAGATTATCTAAGAATAAAAGAAATCTTGATCAATTGGGCCAATGGGCTGAGAGTGACAGATTGGGTTTAATATGGATAAATGCGAGGTATGGCATTTTGGTAAAACAAACAAGGGCGGGACTTATACAGTTAATGTTAGGGCCCAGGGTAGTATTGTAGAACAGAAACCTCAGGGTTCAGGTCCATAGTTCTTTGAAAGTTGCGTCACAGGTAGAGAGGGTAGTAAAGAAGGTGTTTGGTGTGGTTGCCTTCATTGCTAAAACCATTGAGTATAGGAATTGGAACGTCATGCTGAAGTTGACATGATGGATGGTGGAGTATTGTGTCCAGTTCTGGTTGCCTTGCTATAGGAAGGATATTATTAAATTGGAGAGTGTTCAGAAAAGATTTACCAGGATATTGCTGGGAATGGAAGGTTTGAGTTATAAGGACAGGCTGAGACTTATTTTCACTGGGGGGGTAGTAGGTTGAGAGGTGAGCTTATAGAGGCTTATAAATTATGAGAGCCACAGGTAAGGTCAATAGCAAAGGTCTTTACCCTAGGGTGGGGGAGTTCAAAACTAGGGGGTATATTTTTAAGGTGAAAGGAGAAAGATTTGAAAGGGGTCAGAGAGCAACTTTTTTTATACAGAGGGTGATTTGTATGTGGAATGAAATGTCAGAGAAAGTGATAGATGCAGGTACAGTTACAACATCTATAAGACATTTGGACAGATATATGAGTAGGAAATGTTTAGAGGGATATGGGCCAAACGCAGGCAAATAAGACTGGTTTAGTTTGGAAAACTTGGTTGGCATGGACAAGTTAGACCAAAGGGTCTGTTTCCGTGCTGTATGACTCTGTGACTCTATATTCACTGGAGTTTAGAAGAACAAGGGGGGGAGTCTCAGAGAAACCTATAAAATTCTAACATGACTCGACAGGGTAAATGCAGGAAGGATGTTCTTGATAACCAGGGAGTCCAGAACCAAGGGTCACAGTCTAACGATACGGAGTTGGTCATTTAGGACTGAAATGGAGAAATTTCTTCACTCAGAGTGGTGAGCCTGTGGAATTCTCTGCCACAGAAAGCGGTTGAGGCCAAAACATTGAATATTTTGAAGAAGGAGTTAGATGTAGTTCTTAGGAGTAAAGGGATCAAAGGTTATGGGGAGAGAGCAGGAGCAGGGCACTGAATTTGATGATTAACAGAGCAGGCTCAAAGGGCCAAATGGCCTACTGGTCCTCCTATTTTCTATGCGAAGGAGCACCAGCAATCCTCCCCACGTGCCAAGGGACTGCAACATTTTTCATCTCATCCAGCAGTCTGGGGACTATAGGTTGGTCTAGTTCTGCTTGGAGTCCCACTGTTGGAATCTCGATGTAGGGAGGGTGTTATAATCCTGTCTGTCACATCACTACCTGCTGCTGGTGCCAACTCGCTCAGAAACATCATCTTCTTCCTCCTTGTCTGAGGACACACTGTGCTCCTCCATTTCCCCGATGGAAAATCCCTCCTCCTTTCCTGTGTGAGCTTGTGTAGGGGAGCAGGAGGCTACAGTGATCCTGGAAACTCTGTCCGTGGAAGGTGGTCCATGTTCTGTTTTCATGCTGCCCCTTTGTTGAGTCTGCAGTGGGTTTTGAGGAGGTCTCAGTTTGTCCCAATCTGAGGCCTGTGCTGTGATTTTTGCATTCACTGTATTGAATTTTTTGTGATAATTTCACTGTTGTGCGCACCATTCTGTGGGCCATGCATGAACCTGCAGTCTCAGCTGGATATCCCTCCTCACCCCCCCAACTATGCACTGAACACAATATGGTCCAAGAGAAATCTGAGCACCGATATTGGAAATGTTGTGGGTGAACTCAGCCTTAAAGGATCCTGCCAGTCAATTCCCTTAGGTGGACACACATTTCGACAGTATTGGCACCATCATTAGGACAACCATGTTTTTCCTAGACTGACCATCCCAGCATCCTTTGCCCTCGCCCCATCCAGGACTTCAGGCCCTCCCCCAACCTCTGTCCACCCTGGAGTCCTCCTGCCTGTCCTATTTGCCCCAACACCATACTGCCCATCTCTCACTGTTGACAACCCTTGCCAATCCCAAGACTCCGCTGCCACTCTCTCACTGCCCCACCTTGTGCTGTGGAATGAAACATGGAAGCCTTTGATCCCACAGAGGATTACACTGGCACACAGCTGTCACACCTTTAAATATACCTGTGTCAGTGCCATGGGATTCTCATATACTGCTGACATTTTCTGAAGGTGTGTGATTTTTAAAAAAGGATCATGTGAGTGAGTTATCATACGATGTCACTGTATTACATACACAAGCCCAGCAAAGGCCAGGCTGAGCTCAGACTTGTCCCAAACATGGTGCTGACTTTATCGCTGTATCCCATCCCACTGCCAGGAACTCAGGGTTTTAGACCCTCCTGAATTCACCCTGTCACACGGTGTCTCCTGCTCTGTGTGATTCAAAAACCTCACCATTTTGGAAACAAGACAACCAGTATAATCAGATTCACTACAATCACTTTCAACTAATAGCACAAAGATTTAAATAAAAGTAAAATAGCACAGGACACTGGAAGTGTTCAGTACCAAAGAAAAGTTACACCTGACTTGAAACGTTAACTCTGGTTCTCTCTGCACAGATGCTGCCAGACCTGCTGAGTTTCTCCAGCAATTTCTGTTTTTACTTTGATCTAGATAACACAGTGTAGAGCTGGAGGAACACAGCAGGCCAGGCAGCATCAGAGGAGCAGGAAAGCTGACGTTTCCGGTCAGGACCCTT